TACATACATACATACATACATACATACATACATACATACATACATACATACATACATACATACATACATACATACATACATACATACATACATACATACATACATACATACATACATACATACATACATACATACATACATACATACATACATACATACATACATACATACATACATACATACATACATACATACATACATACATACATACATACATACATACATACATACATACATACATACATACATACATACATACATACATACATACATACATACATACATACATACATACATACATACATACATACATACATACATACATACATACATACATACATACATACATACATACATACATACATACATACATACATACATACATACATACATACATACATACATACATACATACATACATACATACATACATACATACTACATACATACATACATACATACATACATACATACATACATACATACATACATACATACATACATACATACATACATACATACATACATACATACATACATACATACATACATACATACATACATACATACATACATACATACATACATACATACATACATACATACATACATACATACATACATACATACATACATACATACATACATACATACATACATACACATACATACACATACATACATACATACATACATACATACATACATACATACATACATACATACATACATACATACATACATACATACATACATACATACATACATACATACATACATACATACATACATACATACATACATACATACATACATACATACATACATACATACATACATACATACATACATACATACATACATACATACATACATACATACATACATACATACATACACATACATACATACATACATACATACATACATACATACATACATACATACATACATACATACATACATACATACATACATACATACATACATACATACATACATACATACATACATACATACATACATATACATACATACATACATACATACATACATACATACATACATACATACATACATACATACATACATACATACATACATACATACATACATACATACATACATACATACATACATACATACATACATACATACATACATACATACATACATACATACATACATACATACATACATACATACATACATACATACATACTACATACATACATACATACATACATACATACATACATACTACATACATACATACATACATACATACATACATACATACATACATACATACATACATACATACATACATACATACATACATACATACATACATACATACATACATACATACTACATACATACATACATACATACATACATACATACATACATACATGCATGCATGCATGCATGCATGCATACATACATACATACATACATACATGCATGCATGCATACATACATACATACATACATACATACATACATACATACATACATACATACATACATACATACATACATGCATGCATGCATGCACATACATACATACATACATACATACATACATACATACATACATACATACATACATACATACATACATACACATACATACATACATACTACATACATACATACATACATACATACATACATACATACATACATACACATACATACATACATACATACATACATACATACATACATACATACATACATACATACATACATGCATACATACATACATACATACATACATACATACATACATACATACATACATACATACATACATACATACATACATACACATACATACATACATACACATACATACATACATACATATACATACATACATACATACATACATACATACATACATACATACATACATACATACATACATACATACATACATACATACATACATACATACATACATACATACATACATACATACATACATACATACATACATACATACATACATACATACATACATACATACATACATACATACATACATACATACATACATACATACATACATACATACATACATACATACATACATACATACATACATACATACATACATACATACATACATACATACATACATACATACATACATACATACATACATACATACATACATACATACATACATACATACATACATACATACATACATACATACATACATACATACATACATACATACATACATACATACATACATACATACATACATACATACATACATACATACATACATACATACATACATACATACATACATACATACATACATACAACATACATACATACATACATACATACATACATACATACATACATACATACATACATACATACATACATACATACATACATACATACATACATACATACATACATACATACATACATACATACATACATACATACATACATACATACATACATACATACATACATACATACATACATACATACATACATACAATACATACATACATACATACATACATACATACATACATACATACATACATACATACATACATACATACATACATACATACATACATACATACATACATACATACATACATACATACATACATACATACATACATACATACATACATACATACATACATACATACATACATACATATACATACATACATACATACATACATACATACATACATACATACATACTACATACATACATACATACATACATACATACATACATACATACATACATACATACATACATACATACATACATACATACATACATACATACATACATACATACATACATACATACATACATACATACATACATACATACATACATACATACATACATACATACATACATACATGTATAAACTATATAAAATATATAGTTTATAAATTATAATTTATATTAATATAATATATATATGTATGTATAACTAATATAAGTAATCTATAAATTATATATATATATTAGAAACACTATGCATAAACTATATAAAGTAATAAAGTATATAATTTATAAAAAAAACCTTAAACCTTAAACCTTAAACCTTAAACCCTAAATCATAAATCATAAACCTTAAACATTTAACCCTAAACCCTAAACCCTAAACCCTAAACCCTAAACTATATATGTAACTTATAGTACATGTATATATAAATATATAAACTATATAAAGTATTAGAGTATATAGTTTTATAAAAACCCTAAACCTTAAATCATAAACCCTAAACTATATATGTATAAACTATAAAAAGTATATAGTTTATAAAATATAATTTATATTAATATATATATATATATATATATATATATATATATGTATGTATATATATATATATATATATATATATGTATGTATGTATGTATATAAACTATATATGTATAAACTATATAAAATATATATAAAATATAATTTATATTAATATAGTATATATTTATGTATAACTATATATATATATATATATATATATATATATATATATATATATATATATATTATAAACACTATGCATAAACTATATAAAGTAATAAAATATATAGTTTATAAAAAACCTAAATCTTAAACCCTAAACCCTAAACTATTAACCCTAAACCCTAAATATAAAATATAAACCCTAAACCCTAAACACTATAAATAAACAATAGTTAATATATGTAACCTATAGTATATGTATATATGTAAACTATATATGTAACTTATAGTACATGTATGTATAAACTTATAGTATATGTATACATGTAAACTATATATGTAACTTAATGTACATGTTTGTATATTAGTGTACTATATAGTTTATACTTTATAACATATAGTTATATTAATGTACTATATAGTTTATATTAATGTTAATTATCTTAACTATAATTTATATTAATATAGTATAATGTTTATAAACTATACTATATTAATATTAATTATATTAACTATAGTTTATAAACTATACTATATAATTTATAACATATAGTTTATATTAATATTAATTTTATATATTATATTTTATATTAATTTTAATATTACAAATTATAAACTATATTATATTAATATAATTAATATTAATATTAATTATATTAATATTAATTATAATATATAATTATTTTAATATTAATTATAATTAGTTTATTATTATAAATTTATAAGGATAAAACTAAAAACAGGCGCCAAAATAACCATTTTCTGCCTCTCTTCCCGACCAAACCCTCTCTCCTTTATTTTCAATCTCTCTTTTTTCCCGCTCAGCATCCAAAATCTCGTTTAGTTTTCCCCTTAATTTTCTCCCTCTCTTCCCTGCCAAATCCTCCCTCCATTTTCTCCCTCTCGTTTTCCTTATATATTTGTTAAATTTGGGTTTAGTTTTCCCCTTAATTCATCGATCCGTGAAGTTCTAAGACGATACTCGTTTGGTTGTGGAGTACCAGGGACATCATTCTGGATGGCCCCCGAGGTTTGGCTCTCTGTTCTTTCCTTTCAGAAGTGATAATCCGTTATAGCTGTTTGATTTGCGTAGAATATCAATTTCTTCTGTATTAGAGATATTGCTTAGGCAGGGAACCATTCTTTTATCTTTCAGTGAACCCTTCTTTTATCTTTTAGGTCACCAGCAAACTAGCAACGTAGTATTTGGTTAGGCAATTTTCATTGACTGATAGGTAATGTTGCAGTTCTTCTTTTCTGAAACACTGTTGGCCCTTTCTTAAACCATACCTGAATTCTTTAGCTCCTAGTAGGATGGGTTCCAATACATCCTCCAGATACTTCTCGTTTTGCCAATTCGGCAACTACCCCAACTCCATCCCGGTCCACCAAGCGTGGGCGCCGCACAGCCACTTCCCTGACTCCTGCTGCAGCCGCCACTCCATCCTCTAGGAACGATTTCTTACCGCCATCTTCAGAGGGCGGAGCTGATATGGAGGAGGTATCCCCTCGGCAACCTCTGCGTCGATATTGTCCTCAATATTCCCAAATTACCCTTTCTTTCCCCTGAAGCTCGCAAAGCCTTCATGGAGCAGTTAGCCGCCTCTCATCCAGATAAGGTAAAAAAAGAAGTTTACTTTTTTTATAAAAAAAATGGGGTTTTGATTTATGTTTTTTTATCCCAGCAATACTGGGAAGCTGGTGGGAACTGTAATATGGTTATAACAGCTGCGAGGCTGGGACTTAAGTGTAGTCAATTGATCATGTTGGTAATGAAATTTATGGGAAGTTTCTTCTAGATGTGCTTCGTGATGAAGGAATTGATTTGGTTGAAATGAGTGAAGAAACTGATGTTCTTGATGCTCCTAGTTCTTCTTATAAAACCCTCTTATGCTGGGTGCTCGTTGACCCTTTACAAAAACATGGCTTTTGCAGGTAAAGAATAAGAAACCTTTTTCTTTTTGCTGTTTTCCAATGATGAGAAAATGGTTGTTGAAGTTTTATGCCTTGTTTTTGTTTCAGTAGTCGGGCGGATTTTAGTAAGGAACCAGCTTTTAGCTGGATGAATACATTGTCTGAAGAAGTAAAGGGGGCGATTAAATGCACGAGAATCTTGTTTTGTAATGGGTATGGCTTTGATGACTTATCCATTGATGTTATAGTCTCAGCCATGGAGTATGCTGTTGAAGTCGGTACATCGGTGTTCTTTGATCCCGGACCACGAGGGAAGAGTCTTTTAAGTGGAACCGCGGAAGAGCAAAAAGAACTTAGGTATTTCTTGAGGATGAGTAATGTCCTCTTTCTAACAGCTGATGAGGTTCTTTTCACAGAATCAGTGCGACCGGTTGAACCGAGAACCAATTGCTTGTCCAGTCTGATCAACTTCCAAAATCAGTTCTGTAATGAACCGGTGTGAACCGACAAAATCGACTGAAAACTGGCAAAATCGACTTGAACCGTCAGTTCTATTTTAACTCATTTTAATGATTTTGAATGTCAAATTACCTCTATTATTTATGGAAGTCAGTTGTGATGTTGTTTTATGTTTCTTAACCATGTGATATTGTGTTGTTCTCCTACTTTTACTCTTTAGACTTTTGGGCCTGGAGTTCTCCACTCTTCCGCCAAATTACACACTTTTCTATCGCGTTTTCTCTCATTTGTCCAATTTGGAGCTCAAACTCCAAGTGTAACGAATATGGTTTTCGTTTCTATGAGTTTCTCAAGCATCAAAAGATTTTGCCTTTTGACTTTAAGCTTTGATCATCAATCTTCCAATCAAATACTACCAAATCATTATAACTAAAGTTAACGTTTTTCTGTAGTGCTGTAGTAGCAGAAACACAGTTTCGATGAGCTCTGTGTTGTTGCCTGCGCATTACTTATTCTGTCAACGGCATTGATATCGACATTGAGAAGTAATAAATTGATCTGATAAACATGTGAACTTGCATGAAGTTCAATTGTGAATGATTTGGCAAAGAACCAACACTGTGTTCATTTAATACAAATTTGATTAGGCTTTGGTAATTTGAGGACGGTGTTGTAATCTGTGCAGGGTTTACAGATTACAACCAAATGCTCTTACCTTGTTGCTTGTACCTCACTCTCAACTTTGAATTTTGTGATTCTTAGTTGCATTTCCCGTATTTTGTTGTTCGGTGATGTGTAATATTGTAAATTTAAAAAAAGGTTATATATATATAAATTAATATTGATTTGAATATTATGTAAAATTTTAAAAAATATATTATTTTATATAAATTGGTTCAACTCGGTTGAACTACGGTTGAATCAGTGAATTAGTATCTTTACCGGTTTAAGGTCCGGTCTGATTTTAAAAACATTGAGTTATATAATTTATAGAAAATTTTAATATCTTTAATATCTGATAAATTTATGAAGATAGAGAGACTACAAGGTACGAGGATTAATTCGCTATTATCTTTACATTTTATACATGTTTTCTTTCCCTTACAGGTTGATGTCAATCATTAATTTCAAATTCAACATATTCTAGAGGTTTCTCGTATTTATTTTATATATGTTTTAATTATTATAATTTATTTCAGTTGTGGCGTTGTAATCGTTTTGTTGGACTTATTGATTTTGTTTTAAAAAATAATATGATTTTAAATTATGTAATATCTTAAATTTAAAAGTTGTACACACCTATTTTCGTCCAGAGATTATTTAGTATATATATTAATATTATATTTTATCTTTATATTTTAGTTTAAATAAATGTTATTATTTCAATTAGAATTTATGATATTATTTTAAATATTATTTTAATTTATCTTTGTTTTAGGTATTTTAGTTTAAATAATTTTAAGTGTTTTAATTAGGATAAAATATATTATTTTAGAAATTATCTTTAGTTTGTTTTTAGGAATTTAAAGGCTATAAATATTCTCTTAGGGTAAACCTAGAAACATACACATCTAAGAATAAAATCTCATTATTCTCTTTAGCTCTCTCTCTCTCTTTCGCACATTTCTTTATTTTCTTTTAAATTTTGTTTTCAACAATTATGATAAGTGTGACTTTGGTCATACTTAGATAATTTTCTTTTAAGTAGAAGGCTAAAGCAAAGGCTCAATTCTAAACGTGAAAATTAAGGGTTTGCATATTGAAGCATATTCGACTTTTCGAGAATATACTTAGCAAAATTGTTTGCAAAGAGGAAACTGAGATCAGAACCAATTATTGTTGAAACAACATAATCCGAGTCGGTGGCGAATGATTGTCCTTGTAAGCCGACGTGAATTTTGAAGTAAATATATGTTTTGATGATCTGAAGAATTTGAGGTAAGCCTGAAGTCTGAGACTGATTTCACTATAAGTTTCTATTTATCTCAATCTCTTTAGAATTATTTATTTAATTATTTTCTTTTATTTAATTCTTATTTTTTATTTTAAAAATAACTTTTAAAAGTTCACTTTTTATCTTTACTACTATTATTTATTATTTTATTATATTTCTCTTTTATTTTATTTTATTTTTTTGTTTTATTTTGTTTTATTTTTATTTTCTCTTTTAACATTTTCTTATATTTTCTTATTGTTCTTTTCTGAAATTTAATATTTTCTTCATTTATTTTATTTTTTCTTTTAACATTTTTTATAACATTTTTTAAAATTTAATATTTATTTCTTTGATTTATTTTTTATTTGATATTTTTTTATTTTATAATCTAACGTTTTTAACTTTTTAGAGCTAATTTCAATCGATTAAAGGTAAGTAATTCGAATTGAGTCTTTAAATTTTAATTTTCATAATTAAAACAACCGACAAATTAAAATGGTACCGAAAGGGTAGTTCAAGGGTGTTAATCCTTCTTTGACTGTAACTGACTTCCGAATCTGACATATTTATGGTAAAACACATATCAGGTAAGATGGTGTCCGATCAACCTAAATATTTTTTAAATGATCGGTGGTGACTCTAACCCATTTATTCAAGTCGAAGCCCAATTCCGAATCCTCCCAAAAGACGGCCGCGACAAAAGTAGCATCTAGATCACGTTTAGGGTGTTAAAAAATGAAAGGAAATAAAAGCTCTCAAAGAAACTTTTGAAGAAAAATATTTGTTGTTTTATTTATCCGACTAAAAATATATTTAAAGAATAATAATAAACTTGCATTGACGAGAGATAATAAAATCCTTTTTCATTGAAAGTATTATTTTTAAATATTTTATTTTTAAAATATTTTATTAATTTAAAATTTGTGGTTTTTTGAATATTTTAATACTTTTTATAATTCTTTAGTTTTTAATTTTTAATAATAAAAAGTAAAAAAGTATTATCAATTTATTTTAACACTTTTTAACTTTTCAATATTTTTTCTCGTTTAATATAAAAATATTTAAAAAAATAAATTATTATTATTATTATTATATTTTTTAAAAATATATTCAATGAATAATAATAAAGTTAGGCTGAACAGAGATAGTTGAAAAAATTTTCAATGGAATTGTTCAATTTTTTAATACTTTAAAATATTTTTTTATTTTTTAATTTATCATTTTATAATTTGTGATATTCTTAATTTTTAAAAATTTTAAAATTTTTAAACTTTTTAATGTTATCTTTATTTTTTCAAAATATTTTCATAATTTTTATATTTAAAATTTAAATATTTTTTATTTTTTTAAAATAAATACACCTTTAAACTTTCTTTAAAAAATAATCAAGCTCTTAAATTTTCTAAAGAAATCAATAAAGTTATTTTCACATAGTACAATAAATTATCATATCAACATCGTGAACTATCACATTAATATCATAATAATCAACTATAATTTCTATTGATCAAAGAATTATATTGATATTTTTCTCAATTTAAGGGCTACATTGGTGTAAATTAAGTTGTTGGGATACATTGATTTTGAAAAAAGATAGAGGGCTTCAATAATCATTAAGCCAAATAAAGTTCAATATAAACGGAAATAACGGAAGTTTGTCGTTCCAAACTAAAAAGTCCAACCTATAGTACCAGTTTGGACTCTAGATCACAGCTGTTGGCAATGAATAACACGTGTCAACACTCACGTTTTCTCTAACTGTAGTTCTCGGCTTCTCGCCCCTCATTAATGTCCATTTAGCAGCCCACTTATTTTAGCATCCCGGCGCACCAACGCCACTTCACTTTTAAAACCTAAACACAGTGACGTTTTTAGTCCACTCCCTTGTCCCAATCAAATTTAGACATCCCAATTTTTGTCCCTTTGTCTCTTTTTTCTTAAGAGAAAATAATTTCAGTGACCAAAAATTCATATAATATATGATTTTAATCAATTTTTTTCAGATTTGCCAAAATGACCAATAAAATCGCAATGCGATCGCTAATTCGCAACGCGATCTCCATTATCGCAAATTCGCGTTGCATTTTCGCAATGCGATAGTTGGAAATCGCGTTGCGATGGTCTACAGTGTCGTTGCGATTTTCCCAATTCGCAATGCGAATAAGTAAATCGCAACGCGAATTGGGAAAATCGCAATGTGAATAAGTAAATCGCAACGCGAATTGGGAAAATCACAATGCGATACTGACTATCGCAATGCGATAATACAAAATCGCAACGAGATACTTACTTTCGCAACGCGATACTGACTTTCGCAACGCGATTCTGACTTTCGCAACGCGATAATATATAATCGCAATGCGATTTTCAAAGCGCCATTAGTATCCTGGCCAAGTATTTTATTTTTAAATTCCAAACACGAATATTAATATATTGGAACACTGAACCGTCCACAGTATATCCCGTAATCGCAACTCATAACCTAAAACCTAAAATCACAACTCAGTCCCATCTCCATCTCTCACTCTCTCACCCATCTCCGACGAAATCCGTCCCCATCTCCGGCGAAATCCGTCTATCTCCATCTCTCAGAGCCACCCTCACAATCAGAAATGGAAAATCAACCAAATCAACCAACGAGGGTTAGTTTTTTTAATTATTTTCTTTTTGAAATTTTTGCATTATTATTAGGTTTTTCATATTGAAATTGATGATAAGTTTACTGGTAATTTCAATAATAGATTAACCATTTCACTTAGATTGCTTATTAAATCAACCGA